TTTTTATGTAGTTTTTACATTTTTACAATTTTTAAAACTAAATACAATTTTTACATTTTATTATATTAATATTTAATTTAATTTTAAATTATTTTCAATTCATTATTTTAAATGTATTTATTTATTTGTTTATTTTTTAGAGTTTTGTTTCATTTTGTTTGCATTCTTATTTGATCTTTTATTTGACTTTTTACTTTTCTTTAATTTGCTCCATTTCATTGTACCCATTGTACCCAGCCATGCTGCGAATGCTTTTTTTTAATATGAATGCACAGATTTTGCTCTGCCGGTGTAAAGCACACCAAACTGAAGTTGAAAAACCACAGAATAAATGTGAATATGGTGACCGTGGTACCGATATCTTCTCTCTGTCCTGTAGTGTGACGGGAGGAGAGCTGTTTGAAGACATCGTAGCCAGAGAATATTACAGTGAAGCTGACGCCAGGTAAAACAGCATCTCCATTTCCTCCTGTTGTCCTGTCCAGACCCTCACCACGGCCATCTCTTCTCCATCCTCCCCATCCACACTTCTTTGTTCTTCTCTTTCACACGCATTTTAACCAGATAAACGTGTGTGTTTTGCACATATTCTAGCATAAAATGTGAGTAACAGTTTTGTCCACATCATATGAGTGATGAGTTTTGTTTCAGAGGCTTGTTAAATGTTTGAGGCAGTGTCTCGCTGAGCCGGCAAGCGTGGGCGGCAGCTCCCTCTGTGCGTCTACTTCTGCAGGTCCCATTCTTCTGGTTTTCCCATCGGCTTCTTTTTTTCCATTCCATCTATTCCTGTTTTCCTCTCTGCATCAGATCTTCTCACAGAGACACACACACACACACACACACTGCAGTCGCCCTCAGGAGAAAAGCTTTAATCAATTTGACTGTGTGGGTATGCATGTGGGAGTGAGATATACGGCGAGAAACAGAACGAGAGATACTTACCGAGGGAGGAAACACAAGAGCTGGCGAGCGGTGAAACTACTGGAATCCATGAGCTCATCAGCCATATTCGTGGGTAGAAACGTGTCACGATGCCGTCAGGACGGTGAAATGTATCCGTCCCCGAGGGCCGTAGCCCCTCCACCTGCCTCCACTTGAGCAATGGCTGAAAGTAGGCCTCTAATTAACACGCATAATTACGGTGTCAGCTCATATTCAGCGCCGCACGTGCTGCAAACCTGCACACTCGCTTTATTTGAGTTTGATCTGTTTCCATAGCACCAGAAATCCCTGACAGAAACTGGATGTTCACACTTTCTGAAGAAAATTACTGTTTTCTTCACATTACTATGCTGTTGCTAAGGTGGTTGCTAGGTGATTGCCTAAGTAAAAAGTCTCTGCCGTTTAATTGTTTACAAGTCTGATCGATCGCTTTAAGGACACATCAATACATTTTTTATCAATGTTTATTTATAGCTATATTTATTTAAATAATTTTAAATACATACACTACTGTTAAAAAGTTTGGAGTGAGTAAGATTGATTAAAGTCTCTAATGCTCACCAAGGCTGCATTTATTTGATTAAAAATGCAGTAAAAATAGAAAAATTGTGAAATGTTTTTACAATTTAAAAGAACTGTTTTCTATTTTAATATATTGTAAAATGTATTTTAATCCTGTGATCATTACTCCAGTCTTCAGTGTCACATGATCCTTCAGAAATCATGCTAATATGCTGATTTGCTGCTCAAGACACATTTCTGATTATTATCAATGTTGAAAACAGTTGCTGCTTCATATTTTTGTGGAAACTGTGATATATTTTATTCAGGATTCTTTGATGAATAGAAAGTTCAAAACAACAGTGTTTATTTGAAATATAAATCTTTTGTAACATTATAATGTCTTTATTATAAATATCTTTACTGTCACTTTTGATCAATTTAATGCATTCTTGCTGATGCATTAAAGTAATAATTTCTTTAAAAAATAAAAAACTTACTGACCCCAAACTTGTATTTTATTTTTTAATATTAAATGTAAAATGAATATACCTATAAAATAATGAATCCATTTAATTATATTTAAGAATTATTATTTGAATATGTATTTACATTTTTTTTCCATGACGGTCTTTTACAATTTCGTTTTCTTCTTTTTTTTTGCAAAAAGAAAATTCGCTAGAAGCTGGAAATGTTCACCTGTAATGTAACTCATAAATTCATAAGCACATTACTGATAGGTTTGTAATTTTTAATACCTTCTTAATAATTCTTCCCGAGACTTTTTTAGTCTTTTTTCCAGTTTTGAAACCTCTATAAAACCTCAATAATTTAAGTTAAGTAGCTACATATTTTAGTGACAAAGCAACAGAAATGTAGAAAACATGAGAGAAAACCAAATGTTTCAGCTTAAATAAAATTTAATACAAAATCAACAAATGTTTTTCAGTGGCAGTGTAGCACCGAACTTAATGTAAAGTGACTTTTCTCCCAACTGGCCCAAAACGCTCTCACACTGTTCCCGGGTCAGCGGGCCATCTTTACTGTTGAGCCTGTATTAGATATGTGTGTTAAAGGAACACGCCACTATTTTTGAAAATAGGCTCATTTTCCAACTCCCCTAGAGTTAAAACAGTTGAGTTTTACCGTTTTCGAAACCATTCAGCCGATCTCCGGGTCTTAAGCTACAGCTAAAAGTGCTACCGCCAGAACCGGAGATCGGCTGATTGGAGTCGAAAACGGTAAAACTCAACTGTTTAACTCTAGGGGAGTTGGAAAATGAGCCTATTTTAAAAAATAGTGGAGTGTTCCTTTAAAAATACCGTCAGCATCTCAGAAACCAGCCGTGCTCTCTCTCAAACACCCAGACACACACATACACGGATCATTTCCAGATCTTCAGCTCTACTCTGTTTGATTCATCCACCCCTCCCCTCCATTTCTCCATCCCACGTGTGATCGGCAGCTTCACAGGAAATGATGCGTCCGGCTGCGCTGCTATTGTTCTGCGTTGTGTAACATCAGGGCTTTCACCGTTATCACTTGTCTCATTTCATCACTCTTATCAAACAGTCTCTCTAATCTACGTTGTTCCTTTCCCGCGCTCGTCTCCCCGTGACTAACTCACCACCACCGTCATGGCTCTCGTCCCTCATCCTTTCTTTTTCTTTTTCTTTTCCTTTCCCTTCTGTCCTCTCCTCTCTCGCTTGTCTTTACAGTCATTGTATCCATCAGATTCTAGAGAGTGTCAATCACATTCACCATCATGACATAGTACACAGGGACCTGAAGGTCAGTATGGGAAGTGCACTGGCCCACTGCATGTGTCATGTGACTCTTACCTGTTTCGAGCCGCCCATGTGTCTGTCTTGAATTGTACTTCTGGGAATTTTGGTGTGTTTCTGCATTCGCTGGCTGTTTTCACACTCGGTTTGATTGTTTGGGTTGAACTCGAGTTCGATTCCCTTCATGTTGACCCTGCAGGTCTCTTTTTACATTTTGTTATTTCGCTACAATTTGCAGTGGATTTCCATACTTAATTCTATAATGCCTACTGTATCATATTTGATACACAAATTTCTAAGGCCTTCAAATTATGAACAGGATCTAAACTAAGTATTTAAATATCATCTTACTAAGAGAGATTATTGGGAGATATAGAGTGGCAACTGATATTTATATGCATTTTATGTAAGTATCTGCTATACTGTTACACAGATCTCATTGATTTACATTGCAAGCTATCAGAATTTCATCTTTTTTTTTTGGCTACTTGAATATCAGCAACTGTACCGAATTTCATATTTTTGCTCATTTTGGGCCTTTGAATAAAATGTAGGTGTTTTTTTCCTCAAATATGATCTCCATATTCTCACTATAATATACTACATGAGCCATAAAAACCTGATGTATCAAATATGGTACTCAACAAAAAATACAAACTTTTTGAATTTTTGACTTTTTAGATTTTTTTAAAAGATTTTGTCTAAAGTTTTAATATACTCTTTAACCGTTTAAAAAATATATATACTTTTTTCTGATTATTACATATGTCAGGATTTACAGGGTTAATTTGAGTTCTATTGCAAGCACTAGCAGCTTTTTTTTTACCATTATAGCAAGAAAACAGTGTAGGAGATGGCCTAAAATTGAAAACATGTTGTTTTTTTTTGGTTTAGTTTTACTATCAAAGCTTATGCACAGGGCATTGTGGATGAATTGCGAGAGATGAGAAGCATGCGCGTAGTTTGGTCTGAATTCCTCCACAGGTCAGTTTTCATGTTGTGTTATTTGGCTCTGATTCATGGAGCCGAGAGATGTGTACAGAAAAGCATCTGTGAAGCCAATTTCGAATTAGCAGCAAAAAGAAAGACAGAAAAGAAAGAAATTAGGCTTTATTGCTTTCACCTTAAGGTAGTAATTTGCAACCAAATTGTTCAACCAAAAATAACGGTGTCTGTCTTTATTTACTCACTTCTTTGGGTTTCCAAACCTGCATGAATGACTTTCTGAAAATTTATTATTTATTGTTATTTATTGTTCATATAGTGAAAGTAAGTGGGATCTATTGTTGTTTTGACCCTAACCAGTTTTATTTTAGTATTTATACTTATTTAAAGTTATATTATATTTATAATATTTTGAATTAGCTTTTATTTGTATTTGTTCAGTTTTCATTTTCATTTTAGCTAAAGTTATTTCTGTGCTTTTGTCACTGTTATTATTATTATTTTTAATTATGATATTTATTTTATTTTATTATTTGTATTTTTATTATAATTATTATAATACAGCTTAATTAACTTTTATTTCAGTTTTAGTTTTTGTAATTTTGCTTCAACTTATTTATTTCTGTTAATTGCCAAGGCAATATTTATCATTTTCATTTATAAGTTTCATCTAATATTTATATTTCATTTCAGCCTGCTGAATATATTATTTTATTTTAGCTTTCGACTTGCTGACAGGAAAAATGGTCAGGGGTTGCTCTTTTTTTGTACAGGAGACTTAATTGAGTTCTCATTTATTTCATTTAACCGTCAACATTGTCTCAGGTTGTTCTCTTAAAATTCCAGTAAGAGTATAAAGTTATAAAATGAATATGAATAGCATAAATCAAATCATGTGGTCATGCGAGAATTTGGTGCTTGAGTTCATATTGAGACTTGCATACTTAAAATCTGTTTGCTCTCAATTTATTTATATTTTATTTCAGCTTTCTTTCAATTACAGAAAATTTTAATATTTTAGTTATACCAACCCACTGACCCAAACATTCTTCAAATGATCTTCATTTACTTTCCACAGATGAAAGAAAGTCGGGTTTGAAATGACATGGCGTTGAGTACATTTTTGGGTGAACTATCCCTTTAAAGGTACTAATTATACACCCTTTAGGGGTAGATAAGGTATATGTAACGGTTCTGCCCCATTGACCAAACCAGCCGAATTATGCCGTCATATGAACTCGGGTCAGCACCAGACGCTCTATTGCGAAAACAGCCGAACTGCTCTTGATGCACTGAGAGTGTCTCCTCACCCTCTCTGTCTTCTGCTCTCTCTTTGTTTCTTGTCTCACTGTCTTTCTTCCTCTCTGTTGTTTCAAAACAGTGTCATTTATCTTTGCAATTGGGTAATTCTCGGGTGCGTGTAATGCATTGTTTCAGTCAAGTGTCGCATTGAGGATGACAGAGTGCCGCTGTTTTGTTTAATAGTCACTTGAGTGAAGGGCTCTTTCAGAGTCTCGCAGCTTGTCTTGATTCAGAGGCTCAAATAAAGCTGCTGACTGTATCTGCTCTGTTCGGCCACACGATAGACAAACCTCCACTCTTTTTTTAAATGGGGAATCATGGTAAAACGTGAGGTTACTGTTGATGCATTTCATATTGCCTCTTGACTTGCTGATGGGGAAAAAATAGTTAGAATTTGCTCTTTTATTTAGTCACATACACACTAAATTTTGAGGAGTGACACTGCATTTAAATACAGGAGTGAATTCCCTGAATTATAGTTTTGTTTGTGTACAGAACAAAACTCGTTCTTGAAATTGTGATGGCTGACACAGTTGTAACCATAGCACCGTTTTGCCATCCTGCGCGATTGATATTTGCTATTTTTGACCAAGTAAGATATTACAGCAACCAAAGACTCGTTATGTTGGGCGATTTTAACTAAACCACCGTCGACAGAGCCATCGTGTTTTGTGTATGTATGGAAAGTTTGCTTTGCAGAGCACTCTCTTGAAGGGTTGCCATGTCCACTTATTATAAGTGACTTGTTATTAAGCATCTTTGGGCTTGTGTTTTGGGCTCGGCTCATAAAGCGAACCATTTTATGGAGATAATAAAGTAGGCAGGTGCAGGTCATGATATTTTGGTATGTGGCTTATTTCCAACATTACATGGTTTGATTTAAGTTGATTATGGGCTTGTTCTTATTTGCTGTATTTTATAGCATGATATGGCAACACTGAGTCAAGATGTACGTCGTTCCCTGTGATTTCTTGCACTGCAACTCTAACACACGTATGTCAAATATGCCATTAAAAACAGGTGTTCATTTGACAGGGTTTCGTTGACACTGCATATAATTTCTGCAAATGCAGTTGTTACTACCTGAATTTTGCAGGACTCAATTCGGTTGTTGAATGCGGTTGTCACTTCTGTAAATTACTGAACAGGATTAAGCACTAAAAGGTGAACCGAATTTAGCTGCAGTGTGTACATGGCCATTGTTTAGGAGGCTTAATTGAGTTTTCATTGATTTCATTTAACCAAATTTGTCTCAGGTTGTAATCCTAAAATTCCAGTAAGAATATAGAGCTATAAAATTAATATGGATAGCATAGCTCAGATCATTTGATATTTGAGTTCATATCGAGAATCAAAATCTCAATTTGCTCTCCATTTAATCTCATTGCTGTCTAGGAGAAACAACTAGGGTCATATGCTCTGAAAAGCATTATATTGTAATATTGTATGTTTTAGATTGAGTTGTTTGATGTGTAAAATTGGTGATCATATGTTAAAGATTTGTTAGGATTTCAGAATTAGTCATTTCTGCAGCTTGGCTCCAATAAATTCTAAAAGTTTTGAGCTCTGGAAGTTACTCTGTTTTCATAGTTCAAATTTTCTTTCTCAAAAGATCAAGATAAATTGGATTCCTTATAACTTCTTTAACAAGGTCCCATCTGTGATTTTTCTGTCTTGCAGAATCTTTTTACGTTATATTAGTGAACCAAACTGTGTTAGTCTAGGGGCTCTTCAACTAGCCGCCTGTGGGCCAAATCAGCCATCAGTCATTTTTATTGCCCTTCAATTGATATTGATGAAATTGCTGTGCGACCAGAGAGGAGTTCAGCAGTGGTTGTATTTGGAACAGAGTTGGAGGTTCAGTCTATGGTTCAGACAGGTGCATCATTTTTGATTGCGTCCATTACAGGAAATGTGTCATATCTGGTAGATGATGAAAACTAAACCTTCAAAGGAAAAATGACAGAAAAGTTAGTTGAACGGATGTGGCTCATTTCATCATCAGATCAAGTTATAATGAAATCAAATTATCTGTTGAAATATCTGAGAATCGCACTTGCTCTAGAGATAAAAGAAAGTCAGTTTTTTTTAAAGATTAGAAACATGCTTAAAGATGTTAGTAATCATGTCAAATCATGTTAGCAACATGTTAATTCATGTTATTACACGGCTCTGTGGAATACTTGATTCTGATTGGACAGTCATGACATTCCGAGGTATGTTATCCCTCGATAACAACCGGTAAAAGCTGATAACACTGGCTTATCCGGGTAACTGAAGTCGGCGCTATACGCTTGCAAGAAACAGTTTTTCTTCGTGGAATCGTTTGCATTTGGTTAGCCAATAAAATATAAAAACTCAATTCAATATTATGTGTACAATTATTTAATTATGCTGTCCTGGTATCGTGGACTCGCTCTCTCATTTCATACAAACGCAGCTGCTGTCATTTTGCAACAATTGTTTTGTAAATTGTAATGGATTATAAGATAACTAACATACTGGTAAGAGTTTTGTCTTAAATCAATATCTTTTATCGCCATAATTATGTGGTGAAATGTTGTGTAATAAGTGGTATGGCTGCACCGTATCCCTTAAATGTCCGTCTAGTTTGAACTTGCCGCTTGTTCGCAACTGCTGTCTTCACGGAAGCTTTGCGTTCAGATATTTCAAATCAATATTTTGTGTCTAAATATTTACTTATGTGGCAAGTAGCAATGTAATAAGCGGGATCATGTACATCCAGCCGGTGGTTATCGC